CTCATGTCAGTTCTTCATAACTTCATTAATTATAAGTATTGAGCTCTATATTTATATTTGTAAGAAAAATAACGTTAGTAGCTGACCAGATGGTTCTTACTCAGCATACACCTATAGGTTACTTTCGTCATACATGCATTCAAATTCAAAATTTCTATAAAAGAGTAAAAATGTCGAAGCTCACATGGGTGGCCACGTTTGAAAACTGGGGGGAAAAAACTATTTTGTCAATATCAACTGATTTTCACATAAAATTCATTACATTATTGATAAATTAAAATCATAAATAATATATCCCTTTTTTTTTTTAAGTCATACTCATACGCAGTGTGAGAACTCCACACTTAATTTGTTATATTTGCAAAGGCTGGAGTAATTCTGAATTATTTATATTACAATTATTTTTGTATTTCTGATCTGAGATTAAATATACCATTAATTATATCTTATTTATATATACACACACACACACGTAATCCGCACGCCTGTGATGACCGATAAGCAATCTGAGAAATTAAGGTCAATTCGGGGAACCTAAAAGGAGAATCTAGAATGAATCAACTATGGAATATTCCGAGGAGATGCTGTGACCTCTTGCATGGAAGCTGCGGTCGATAACTAATAATGCTACAGGGCGCATCAACTTTTATTGGTGGGAGAATATTTTCTTTTCGGTAGCATATAAGAGATCTTTTTTTAGAAAAGAAAAACACACACACAGATTTCTCTTATCCTAACATAAGGACTAATTAAAAAATTATTTTTTATAAGCTATAAAGTAATTATATTTAAAATATTATTGGATACTAAATTTTCAGGAACTATTGAGAAGTTCACTTTAGTCATGAATCTAAAACTTTAATTCATTACGTTTTCTAAATTTATAATTTTTTAAAATTATTTCTCGTTGGCTTCCAATGTAAATAATTAACACACTTTTACAAATAAATACCTTAAACAAATTATTTTTATAAATTAATTATTTAATTTTTACGTTTATTAGGAATGAAGTAGAGAACAACATCAAACCTTTCAATGCCTCATTATGTCTGGATCAAATTCATCTGCTTCACTTCTTCGGTCTTTAATATATGACCTAATTATTAAATTGATATTAATTTTAAATATAAGACATATTTTTCATATTTATCAATTTTTTTTAAATTATCCATATTTATCACTTTCGCAATCATAGTCAAGTAGGAGAGAGGAAGGAAATTAAAAAGATGATTAGAGAGTCATAGGAAAAACATGTTATATTTTTTATAAATAATTAACTTACCTAATTTTCTTAATATAATCAAATTAGTTAAATAGGTTTTATATTAAGTATAGTATAATGAAAATAAAAATATTATTATATAGTAATGATATAATATAGTTAAGGCATGATAAATACGTTACATTAGAAGAATCTGACTTTTTGTAATTTATTCTTTTTTAATTTTTAACTTTTCAACCAATGAAGCAGCTCCTACATTATCAACGGCAGAAAGTAGAATCAGAATGATCTCAGGCGTGCTGCATATAGAATCCTAAACTAGCCCCAAATCCAAATGAACCAACTTTTAGTTTATTTTTTTAATTCTTTTCCCTATTTTGGCCTGAATAATCCCATTTTCAGTTGACTGAAACAAATATTATAAGGCAAATCGAGATATCTGGATCAACAGGATTAGAATTAACCCGTCTTTTGCGAATTTATTACGACTATTAATTAATTATTAATATTGAAAAATAAAAAAGCGCAGTAGCAAATACTCTAAAATATAATTAGCCTCTTGCTTGTTTTAGACCGCGGAAAGAACAATAAAAGTCGTTGAGTCAACACAACAACAGTACAAACTGAAAAATTAGATTTTTTTTTTTTTATATTTCCCCTCCAAGCTTCTTTCATTTTCAAATATAGGCATTCATAAGATCACTAAAATACTATTAGTTGCAATGAAATCATTTTTGCGGAACAAAATATTATTTTTTATGAATAAAAAATACTGAGAAAATTAATTATAAAAATACTAGTGGAGTTTGCATTTAATTTGTCATTGGTGCTTAACCGATTATTTATTCACCATGTGTCACGTGATCTAAGCTTTTTCCCCTTTCGAAAACCAAGGGGAAACTATGATATTATCTCCGATTATATTTATAAGATTTTGTTTATAAGCTATAAATAAGGTGTTATAATTAGGATCAGAAATAGTATTAGTATTAGAACTCAATGTAAATTTAATCTAGTTAAAGTATATATTTGGTCTTTTATTTTTATATAAGGTTTATTTTGATCTTTTAACTTTAAAAAGCATATTTTTAATCCTTTTAAGTTAAAATTATTAGTCTTAAATAATATTTTTTGTATCAAGTTGTTTTAAAATTGAAACTTATTAGATTAGCATTTAAGAATATTTTATTAACACTTAATATCTCAATATCATCATTTTTATCAATAATTTTAGGATTAAAAGATTAAAACTATACTTTTTAAAATTAAGAAATTAAATTAAAACATTGTATAAAGTTAAAGCGTCAAAAGTACACTACTATACTTTAGCCTTTAATTTATTTAATTGAAAGCACTTTTTTTAATGGGAAAATAACAACAAAATACCACCTGAATTTCAAAAAGACAAATAAGGCACCTGAATAAGCAAAATGACATATAGGAGATTGGGTACCAATCTAGAATTCAGATTTTGGCCAAAAGACCAAAATGCCCTGTCTGAAAGTGAGAGAAAGGAGAGAAAAAGACCGACGCAGTGAGAGAAAGGAGAGAGGAAGATTGACGTTGATGAAATGCGAGAAGAAGGAAAGAAGAATGTTGGAAATGCTATTATCTTACTCCTTCGCATCACCATTCTTTAGAGATTGTTGATTTGGTGGGTTTTGGTTGTGGGAAAGAGGATTTGTAGTGAGAGAGGGAGTGAACCTGTGGGGAAGATGAAGCGGAAATCAGAAAACAATGGCAAGCAATTACGTAACGTAACTGCTGTCATATGCTTGCTGGTTTTTGGTAAATCCCATTACATGAATGGTAAATTTTACTATACATGTAGTTAATTATGAATTTTACAAAATACATATTGTGATTTACAATTTTTGTAGTGAAAATGACTACTTTGTTAATGGGTTTTGCAACCTGTTTTCAGGAGATAAACAACTTATTTGTAAAAACTAATAAAATTTCACACTAAATTTGACAAAACGTATAGTGGGATTTACAACTTCCGTAGTAAAAATGACCACTTATTCAATGGGTTTTGCGACTTGTTTTCAGGGGATGGGCAGCTTGTTTCTAAAAACTAATAAAATTTCATACTAAATTTGACAAAACACATAGTGAGATTTACAACTTTCGTAGTGAAAATGATCACTTCTTCAATGGGTTTTGTAACATGTTTTCAAGGGATTGGCAATTTGTTTCTAAAAACCAATAAAATTCCATGCTGAATTTTACAAAACATAGAGTGATATTTACAACTTTTGTAGTGAAAATTACCACTTCTTAAATGAGTTTTGCAACCTCTTTTCAGGGGATGAGCAACTTGTTTCTAAAAATCAATAAAATTTCACGCTGAATTTTACAAAACACACCGTGATATTTACAACTTTTATAGTGAAAATAACCACTTCTTAAATGGTTTTTGCAACTAGTTTTCAGGGAATGGGCAACTTGTTTCTAAAAACCAATAAAATTTCACGTTGAATTTTACAAAACATATACTGAGATTTACAACTTTTGTAGTAAAAGTGACCACTTTGTTAATAGGTTTTGCAACATATTTTTGGAGAATGAGTAACTTACTTTTCACCACCAATAAAATTTCACACTGAATTTTACAAAACACATAATGCGATTCACAACTTTTATAGTGAAAGTGACTACTTCTTCAATGGGTTTTGTAAACCTGTTTTCACCGGAAAGGCAACTTATAAGCATAAATAAATCATTCAGTGAACGTGTACCTGAAGTACGTCACAATAAACATTGAACTATTAACTTTCATAATTAACTACATGTATAGTAAAATTTACCATTCACGTAATGGGATTTACCAAAAACCAGCAGGCATATGACAGCAGTTATGTTACATAATTGCTTGTCGTTGTTTTCTGATTTCCACTTCATCTTCCCCACAGGTTCACTCCCTCTCTCACTACAAATCCTCTTTCCCACAACCAAAACCCACCAAATCAACAATCTCTAAAGAATGGTGATGCGAAGGAGTAAGATAATAGCATTTCCAACATTCTTCTTTCCTTCTTCCCGCATTTCATCAACGTCAATCTTCCTCTCTCCTTTCTCTCACTGCGTCGGTCTTCCTCTCTCCTTTCTCTCACTTTCAGACAGGGCATTTTGGTCTTTTGGCCAAAAATCTGAATTCCAGATTGGTACCCGGTCCCCTATATGTCATTTTACTTATTTAGGTGCCTTATTTGTCTTTTTGAAATTCAGGTGGTATTTTGTTGTCATTTTCCCTTTTTTAATTGAGTTCGAGGAAAGTAGTTCTGTTGGTTAAATCGGTAATATGATGAATTAATCTTTTGATCAATTTAGTTAAGCGTTCTGGGCAAAATCAACTGAATTGAATTTTATATATTTTTTATTTTATTGAGCATAAGACAACATAATTTTTTTTTTGTCAAAGAAACGATGTATATTAATTCCAAAGAAACAGAGTTTCATCCTATGCCTTCTCTACAGTTCGACCTATCAGAAGTAAGCAAGAACAAAAGAGGGGATGGGGGAGCCAACTCCCAACCAAAAGACCACATCCCCTTACAACCAGATTTGGCTAGCCAATCAGCTACCAAATTGCACTTTCTAGGAACAAAGGATAAGCTAAAGTCTGTATAGGAAGCAAAAAAGCCCTTTAAATCAGCAACCAGCCCGTTTGCTTTCCAATCAGGACAATGAGTATTTTCCTTGATTGCTTTTACCAAAGGAAGACAGTCTAATTCCACATCCACCTTGCCTAACTCTCTATCTTTATAGTGAAAGATAGCCTGATGTAACGCCTCAGCTTCACTCTCAAAAGCTGATAGTGCTCTACCTTTTTGGCAGAATAGATCTACCACTTGGCCCTGAGCATCTCGCAGTACAAAGCCCACACCACTACGATTTGTACCTGTTACAAAAGAGTCATCAACATTTAATTTTAAACTATTAGGAGGAGGAGGAGACCAAACCATATCTTCTATTTCATTAGCTGAGGAAACCGATTGAGATTCACTCCAGCGTTTAACACGCCACAGTTCATTTACACCAGTAGAAGCAGCAGTCAAGATCCAATTCAGATCTGGGTTTTTGTTCTCAAAAATCAAACCACAACGGGCCTTCCAAATGTACCAACACACATAGGCCACCACAGCTTTCAAAAAGTCATCCTGCTTAAGTTCATGCAGGATTTTAGCAAGCCAAAAATCAAAAGAAACCACATTTAGCTCATGCACCACAATAGCAAGCGGTGAGGCAAACCAGACTCTACGTACCCAATCACATAAGAGTAAACAATGTTCAATAGTTTCAATGTGACCACAACAATGACTGCAAAAAGGAGAAACAGGGCATTTCTTTTTTGCAACAGCTTCATTAGTAGGTAAGGCCTTGGAGCAAGCCTTCCACAAAAAATGTTTAATTTTTGGCTGAACTTTAAGACCCCAAATTTCTTTCCACAAATTAGAAGGCATCTGAGTAGAAGAACTGGGACCCCTATTAGGAGAGACAAGTTTATGACACTGAAGCCATTTATAGCCCCATTTAACCGAGTAAACTCCATTCACACTCCCAATCCATATCATGCAATCCTCTACTTCAGACCTAGGAAGTCTAATATTTTGGATAGCTTGTGCAACACTGTCTGAAACTGGAAGGTTTCTCAGAATCCACCTTCCTTGGTGTAGCAGGTCTGAGACCATCAACTCCTTCATGTCTTCTGGAACAGGACCTCCAGGTATACGAAAGTTCTCCAGATCTGGAATCCACGGCTCCTGCCACACCTTAATCTTCCTCCCATCGCCTACTCTCCAAAAGGATGTACCAGAGAAAATCTTTCTACCCTCAAGGAGACTGTTCCAAACCCAAGAGGCTCTTGCCCCTTTCTTCACATTTAAGAAGGAGCAATTTGGGAAATAAATTCCTTTAAGTATTCTAGCCCAGAGTTCATTTGGTTCAGTCATTAGCCGCCAGCATTGTTTTCCAAGAAGAGCAAGATTATAATTCTGAAAATCTTTGAAACCTAAACCCCCCTCTCTTTTGGATTTTGAAAGACTCCTCCATGCCTTCCAGTGAATTTTCCTACCACTCTCACCATCTCCCCACCAGAAACTAGAGATAATACTATCTAATTCAACACAAGTCTTCTTTGGATAAAGGAAACAGGCCATAGAGTATGTAGGAATAGCATTAGCTACTGATTTTATAAGGACTTCCCTCCCTGCTTGTGAAAGAAATTTTTTATTCCAACCCATGATTTTCCTCCTTATTTTATCCCTAACAAAGGCTAAGGCTTCCACTTTTGATCTTCCCCATAGAATAGGTAGCCCCAAGTAATTTCCCGAGGAAGACGCCACAGTAATACCAAGGCTGTGACTCACCAAATTCCCTATAGTTTCAAGAGCATTTTTAGAGACAAACACACAGGATTTTTCCAGGTTTACTCTTTGACCAGACGCTTTACAATAAACTTCTAACAAACTCTTGAAAAGCATACAATTTTTCTTATTTGCCCTTAAGAAAAATATCGAGTCATCAGCAAAGAGACAGTGTGACAAGACAGGACAGCTGTTAGCCAATTTAATCCCTTGAAGATCACCCCTAAGCACATGGGAGCTAACCATACGAGAGAAAACATCAGCTACAATTATGAAAAGATAAGGGGAAAGAGGGTCCCCTTGCCTTAGACCACAGTTTGGCTTAAAATCATCAATTTTCTTTCCTTCCACCCTAAGATTAAATTTCACAGAAGAGACGCAATTCATTATGTTCTGAACCCATTTCGGATGAAAGTTCATTTTTAAAAGAACAGCTTCTAAAAATCCCCATTCTACCCTGTCATAAGCTTTATTCATGTCCAGCTTGATAGCAAACTCATACTTATTCCCTGACTTGTTTTTCAAATAATGGAATGCTTCATGGACCATGAAAATATTATCCTGAATCTGATGTCTAGGGACAAAAGCTCTTTGTTGCTCTATAATGCTTCTGCTTAAAAGGGGTCTCATCCTATTACAAAGAATCTTTGAGAAAATTTTGTAGCAGAAATTACAAAGGCTAATGGGTCTAAAATGGTTTACTGTCTCAGGAGAATCCACTTTAGGAATGAGAATAAGGTCAGTTTCATTAATTCCCTCAATCCCAGCATTATTTTCAAAACAGAAACGCACCCAGTGACAAATAGAAGGACCTATACTTTCCCAAGAATGTTGATAGAACACCCCTGGGAAACCATCAGGTCTAGGGGCCTTTAAACCCCCTAATTCATGAGTAGCAGCCTTTACTTCCTCATCCGTAATAGGACTCAACAACACAGCATTATCACAATCATCAATGACAGCAGGAACATAAGAAAGAACCGGATCACACCTCAAATTATTACTTCCAGAGAACAAAGATTTGTAAAAATCACCAAAACATTGATTTATTTCTTGAATATTATCAGACCACGAATCATTTCCTAACTTTAGTCGCACTATCTTATTTCTTCTTCTATGTTGAGCTGTAATGGCATGAAAAAATTTTGAATTGTCATCACCCCAAGTTAGCCAATTTACCCGTGACCGTTGGAACCAGTATTTCTCCTCACGACTCCAAACCTCTTCCATCTTAGCTACTAAAGCCCTAGCTTTCCCAGCATTAACCTCATTCCATTCCCCCTCATAGCAGTTTCTAAACTCAGCCAAAAGCTCACATAACACTTTATTATTATTAGGAAACTCTTTTTTACTCCAGTCCACAAGAATTCTTCTAACTTTCTTTTAAGCAGGAAATGAAAGATAACAAGCTATTATCGTAAGAGTCAACATTAAAGTGCCAATTCTTTTTAATCAAATCATCATAATGACAGTGATCAATCCAGTTTAATTCAAATTTAAAAACTTTATCCCCATGACAGCCATCATAGCTAGGAATAAGAAGCATGGGAGAGTGATCAGAACCCAACGGCTCAAGAATACTAACCTGGGCATTAGGACAATCATTTCTCCAGACTCCATTGCACAATGCTCTATCCAGTCGCTCTTTTACATTCGCCCCTTCCAAACGGTTGTTCGACCAGGTAAATCTCATCCCCTTGAAGTCCAAATCCATGAGCTGACAAGATGACATAAAAGACTGAAACTCTTCAAATGATCTCAACGGTCTTGTACGACCCCCCTCCTTTTCGAAACTGTATAAAAGATCGTTGAAGTCCCCACAGCATAACCAAGGGACATTATCCCTAGGATTGAGACCTCTCAATCTTCTCCACCAGGTTCTTCGATTCTGTATCGTGGGTGGCCCGTACACAAAGGAGATAAAACCATGTATAGGTTCAAGACCAGACACAACCTTGACATGTATAATGTTGCTTTCTACTAAAATCACCTCTAGGTTTATACCCTCTCTCCACCAGAGAGCTAAACCACCCCCTATACCCACTGGTTCCACGTATACTTTGTTCTGAAAACCCAAACTCCTGCGACAACGATCCACCTTCCTCACATGAACCCTAGTCTCCATAAGAAACACCGGGGAGGGCTTATATTTTCCACACAAGAATCTCAGATTCTTGCCTGTTAAGGGCGCCCCAAGCCCTTGATAGTTCCAGCATATGAGACTCATGGTGACTTGGTGGCCCTTTGAGGCTGGCCACCAAGCCCTTCAGCAGAGAAAACGAACTGTTGAGAAACCCCATCCTCAGTCAAAACCTTGACACATGAAACTTCTTTTATTGGAATGTCGACCAATCCTGCCCCACAGTACTTAGCCTTATGCTTCTTCTTTTTTCCATCCAGAGAGTTGCTTTGACCTTCAGAGAAAACCACTTGATTCTCACCTGCAACATTAAGGAATTCTACCCCCACAAACTCTGTCTTCTGTTTTTTGGCTTGTTGGAGCTCCTCCGCATCCTCCAGACTTCTTTTCAGTGTAACTTTGGCAAGTTTCTGGACCAGAGAGCCTTCATAAGTTATCTGGAGTAAGTTGCTAAGACAACATAATTTTGAATTAATAAAAAAAGAAAAATAATAAACCTTATTTGTGTATTTTAATTAAATTAAATTATTTAAATAATAACTGGGTTGATTCTGATTTGGCCATAATTTGATCACACTGACCCTTAAACTTAGTTAACTGACCAATCTACTTTTGAGAAAACATTCTTACATCAATTGGAAGTGAGTCCCAAAACAATAGTTTGATTTTATACCGTGTGGACAAACTTGAGATGATTTTTATTTTTCAATGTTAAGATTGAGGCACTCATTTCCTTGTTTCACAATACAAGTTATTTTAACTATTCTGTTAGAATCAATAAACAGTAATTAATTTATTAAGTCTGTTTCATTAAAAAAAATTTAATTTTACCTATATTAAATGATGCAGTGAATAACAAATTTTCGTTAAAGGGATTTAAGGTAAGCATTGAAGTAATTAAATGGATTTTTGAGGAAAAATGATCTTTTTTTTTTCTAATTCCAACAAAATTTCTCTCTGAGTAATTTGAACCAAGCAATTGTCTCTGGGAGATTGGAGTTGTCTTTTGGCCCCCAAAAAAAGAAAAGAAAAGAGATTGGAGCTGTCAGAAACCAAGGGAGGGAGATGAAAGAAACCCGTGGGTGAGCAGAGAAAGGTGAGCGCTTTTTACGCGAAAGTCGATGCGAGGATTACGATACGCACGAAGGCACATGACTGATCATTTTGTTTCCGTGGCTCCCCTGAAAACTCCCTCCCTCCAATTATGGGAATTTGCAATCCACCGACTTGCTTCACTCGATCCCGGTGGTGTCGGTCAAATACTTGCTCGCTCGGTGTGTCATTGTCAAACGTTGATTTTAATTATTTATTTCTCTATTTGTAAAATTTAATTAGATTAATATAATTTTTGGTGTATTAAACTTTAAATTTTAAATTATAGATTTTTGTCTCTCAATTTTTTTTATCTAAAACATTGATCTTTATGACTTAATCAATATCTGGACCATTTTGCTCCTTATAATTTAAAACTTGAGAGAACACAACTAGAATGAAGAAACAAGTATTATATTAATCCCATTTAATTTTACAAAAAAGATAAAATAAAAATTAAATTATCTTTGGGCAAAACTAAGGCCTCATTTGGACCGGCCTTTTCCAAGTGTTTATAAGCATAATTTATGTAAGTTGAAACAAAACTCTTTTTATATGCTCACCTTATGTTTTGTAAATTACAATTGAAAAGCTGCCTATGAGTCATTCTAAACCAAACAGGCCCTAAGTTAGGAGAAAATGACTTATATTGTAAATCAGAAAAGTATATATTCCCTCATGTCCTTTATCTAAAAGCATGTTGAAGATTTAATTTGGTTTTAAATATAATAATCTAATATACTTTGTTTCTAATATTTGTCTATTTTACTCCCAAGGAATTCCTATGTTGCTTGTACATGTTAAGAAATTATTTCAATCCATATAATTGATAGAGATATTTGAAAAAATACAAAATCCATTCATTAAAAAAAATTAACTCAACAAAATTTTTTAATATTCACAAATTAGCTATTTGGCTTTTATATTAAATAAAGTATAGTGGTATACTTTCTTCGGTTATAAGTATAAGACCTTGATTATAATCTACAAATTAGATCTTATAATTAAGACCGGAGGTAGCATTACATACTCCCTTATCTTAAAAATAAAACTTAAAAGAAGTATCATTATGGAATCAAAAAACTTTCCTACAAACGAGATTTTATAATTAGGACCAGAAATAGTATTACATATGCTTTTATCTTAAAAATAAAACTTAAGAGAAGTATCGTTATGGAATCAGAAAAATCCAACAAAATCAGACCACTAAATGAGTTCAAAAACGTGAAGGAAACAAACTTCTTTAACAAGCTAATCAACTCCCAAAAATTCCATTTAATTATGATTCATCTTAAAATTTTCTATTTAATGTGGATTTTTATTTTTATTTTATTTTGGTTTACCCAATCATACGTATTCTGGTTACTAAAATTATTAATACATTGCATTTTCAACTTCATGCTATTTCTTCCCTCGCTCCATACGGGCTTCCTTTCCTGAGGTCCCTTGACCACCCCCAAATATGTGTGCGTAAAACTAGGGGTGAGCATTCGGTTTTTTGGTTTGGTTATCGGTGATAACTGAATTAACCGAATAACCGAATAAAATAAATTTTAAACACCGAACCGAAACCGAATAACCGAACTAACCGAAACTGAATTAACCAAAAATTTCGGTTCAGTTAACCGATTAACCGAAACATATAAATATGGAAAATAATTTTAAATTAAAAATAATAATAAAACACAATTATAACCATTAATTAATAAATATTTCATCATTCAATGTGATTTATTATAATAATATTTATTATAATCATATTTATTGAATATAAATATATTTAAAAAGTTCACATATACCCACATATATATTTATTATAATAATATTTATTAAATATAAATATATAATATATTTATTTCGGTTATTCAGTTATAACCGAATTTTTTTTCTACTAACCAAACCAAACACCGAAACCGAATTGTTTAAAAAATAAAAACCGAATATATAACCGAAAACCGAAATAACTGAACCGAAAAACCAAAATTAAATTCGATTCGATTCAGTTTTCGATTACGGTTCAGTTTTACTCACCTCTACGTAAAACCATCAACAATGAACATAACTAAACCATAATCTTCTTTTTCAGAAATTATGAATAAAGGGAACCCACTTTTTTTAAAAAAATTATTCCATTATTTTTGTATAAAATTAAGGATAAATTATAAAAAAAATCCATGAAATTTTTATGTCACATGTAAATAACTTTTTTAATCTTTTTCTATTATTTATTTGTAAATACCTTAACATTTATGGCATTTTCAGAAAAAATAATAACCTCCCTAAAATCAATGACTTGCTAACAATAATGAAGTTTGGTTAGATTTAACTTGTTATAAATTGTATATTGTGTTTGTATTAATTTTTTCAAAACAAAAATTCCATTTTATTGTTAGTGGGCGTGAAGCTCGTGAAATTATACAAGTGAGCATTTAAAAATTAAAATACATCTTTGCAGCACATAAATCCACCATCTACAAATATAATTATACAATGCTACCTCGGTCATTAATATAAGAGCTAGTTGACTAATTTGAGTAGATTAAAAAAATTAGTTATGTTATTTATTAGTAATAAATAAATATTATTTTTCTTAAAATATTTATACTAATCAATTGTATTGGTTAGAATGATCATTGTTATAAAGACTACCTTAAAAAAAGATAAATATGAAAGATAAAATAAATTAAAATTTTATATTTAAGATTAAAATAAAAATCAAATAATTTTTTATATTAAGAATTAGAGGTAACACAAACTTAGAAGGAAAAAAAAATAGTGAAGTAGGACATGAAGCATGATACCCATGTTACTGTTATGAAAAGAGTTAATTAATTAGCAGGGCAAAAAAAAGAGATAATTAATTATGGGGGGAAAGAGATAATGGGCAATATAATGACCGCACAAAAGAGAGGGAAGGCCAAGAAAATGGCGACAGCACAGCAGAGAAGGATAGAGTGAATCACGAGGAGGAGAAGGACGTGATGATAAAAGTTTGACAAACAAATGCACAAATTAACAACTCGCGGATGGTGCAAACTGGAAAGCTCTGCAACAATGAGCATGCCTCCAGCTGTGGTTGGTAAGATTCTTCAAAAGCAATTTTTCAGTGATTTATGAAATATAAATATGTGAGAAAGATTTGCATTTATTTACGTGAATGTATTTATAAGTACTTAATATAAATAGCTTCAAACAAGACCTTAAAGTTTAAAGCTAACTTTCATGATGTTTTAATATCAAATATCAAGCTCCTGCCGTTAATTTTGCCGTTAAGTTATTGAGAGTTAAGATTGTGAGAGAGAATTACTTCTAAAAAAAAGTTACTTAATTAATTTAAATAATTTAATAAAACTAAATAAATTATTTTATTAAAATAAATATGACTCGATCTCCTAAAAAATATCCTTATGTTATATTGTATTATCAATTCATAAGTTAAATAAATTAGAATAAGAAAAACAATAAATATTAGGGATAAATGAGATAAATGTCTTAAATTTAGAATCAAAATCAACCTCGCAACTAACTTTTCTAATTAGAGCCGAGAAGAATAAATTTTTTGAAAGGAGAGTTTTAGAAGGGACTTTTTTTAAAAAAAATTACATTTAAGATGAAAGAGAGTTGGAAACATTTTTTTTGGTAAAAAAAAATTTAAGTAAGTTGAATTCTAAGAACTTCTTAGGACTAGAGCATATATCCATACTCAGAAAGTACTCATAAGGATCGCCTACGAATACAATCTTTGTGAGAGTAAGATTTAAATTCATAACTTTATAAGTTATTAGCTGGATAACTTTTATTTGCTAATGTCCAACATTAGATGAAAGATGATTGCTCCACCACCCAACCCAACTTTTCACTTCTAGGCCTGGCCCACCAACCTGCTTTACCTCTTAAGGCCTCAACTCCTTTCGTCTTTAGGCAAGAGTTAATTATCAAAATTTACCATATATCTTGATAAAAAAAATTATGACCACTTAAATGTAAAGTCTCAGTTTAATTCTACAGGAATGTAAAGCACATTTTTTCAGAAAAGTTACCTCTATTTAAGTGCTAATAATATCAGAAAATGATGATATTAGATATTAGCTTACGTATAAAAAAATTAGGTATTTAAAGTTTGATAACATATGTTTTGTAAAATTGGAAGAATGATATCATTTTAAGTATTTCCAAATCTAAATCAATATTAATATTGACATTATTATCAGTATTCAATTTAATATAAGATATAAAATTCACAGCAAGTCGTATTACGTTAATCAATAAATAATATTTTTTTAATTTAAAAACAGGGAAATTACACCACCATCAACAAAAATTATTATGTTGTAATTATCCTTTAATAACATAG